ATTTTTTGACATGTTAATTTTCACTTATTTTTCAGCTTGATTGACCTCGCTGCCTGAATAGGTGACTGGCAGAATGGGTGGGGGTTGTGGCTGAAGGCTGGGGAGGAGAAGAGTGAGTTCTTTATGATAGGGTATAATTTAACATAAGGTGTGACAGGAAGTTGTACCTTCACAATTCTAGCCACCAAGATTTGCCTTCAGTAAACAGTGTGCTCCATTTTTGTTTACAGCTACAACTGTAAACACTTTGTTAATGCTATTGTCTAGCTGAAGTACTTCTGAGTGTTACATCTCTACACATGCACAAAAGCTCCTTTGGTTTATTGACATCCTGATGCTGTTTCATGATGTTTAGATGACCAGTGTGATTAAGGATTACATCCCAAGCCTGCATTGTTCCATTCCTGCCTTGCATGGTTAGGCCTTGTAGCTTATCATGTGTGGTTTCACGTATTTTTACTTGTGAAGTTAGGTGAAAATATCTTAATTTCAGCCAGACCTTCCAGCTTTTCTCTGTGCAGCCACAGCACATCTTTGCATCTTAAGAAAACCCTCTGATAGCTGTGGCATCCTGGTTTCGGTTTATGGAATGCCAACAAGGAGGTAGGATTTGAGTGAAAGCAGCTTGTTCTCTTCTCCTTTCATACTTCAGGGCAGGTCCTGGAAATAAAATACATGGTTTCTCATCAAGATGTAGTAAGGAGGAAGGCTGAGCAGCAGTGTTCCTGAAGTCTCCAGGGAAAGGAATTCAGTAAGCTTTTGGTAAAATGCCACAAGTCTTTAGGTTTGCAACTAATTTGGGATAAAGGCAGTTCTGGGTAACAGGGACATGCAGCACAGATCATCCACTTGCTGCAGAGAAAAGCAAAAAAAGCAGACTTGAAAATGGAAGATTTTGTGCCATTTTCTGGAAGGAGCAAGTAGCAGCTGAGGTTACACTGTACAGACATTTAAAATCTTGATGGTGTATTTTCCTATTGTGGTTCTGAAATTTGTGCTTTCCCTCTCTGTACTCAGGAAGGTTCAGAATCGCTCATCTTGGCTTAACCTCATCATCTTCTGAATGTTCTGGAAGACAATTTTATGTTTTATTAGAGTGAGAGACTACAAAACTGGGACCTGGTGTTTGCAAGTGACTGCTGGAGTGGGATGTGGTATACGCTGGCTCCTGGAAGCCTGTTATACTTTGCCACATTTACAGGTGAGGAACTCTCTTCTTATAATCTGATTTTGATTTTTCCTGAGGAAACTGTCAGTGCTGTAAGCAGGTAATTTTTATTGCTTTTTAAAGCAATACCTTACGGTAGAAGAGAAGCCTGCAGAAACATTTGTTTTTCAAACAAATCATCAAAACCTGGTTTCGAAGATGTGGAAAAGAGCAGTAACAATGTAAATTTGATGTATGGAAAAAATAATCACCTTTCCAAATGGGAACAATATACCTGGTATACTTAGATTCCCAGACAACCCTGCAACTCCCAAGATTTCCTCCAAAAGAGATCTGAGGTGTTATAAGGGGTTTGCATGCACAAATGAGTCTGAAGAGTAGAACACTTCCATTTTCAGTATCCTGCTTTTAAAATATTCACCTTGTCAAATATATGAACAGTGAGACCTAAATTTTTTGAGGTAAAGTTACTAATGGAATCAATATAAGCCTCAGAGTTACAAGTTAAAAGAAGCTGATTATTTGCAGTATTGGATAAAAATTCAGGTTAATCTGTGGGATAACTTACATTTGAATAACCTGCACTTCTAATTTCACCTGCACTGTGGCTTCTAGGTATTGTTTTTTTAGCACTTCTCATCTTTTCTCCTAGCTTTAGTCAGGAAAAGCAGAAAGAAGAACAGATCCGACCTCCTTTGCACAAATCCTGTTAGGAGTTCACAAAAGAATTCTTGAAATCCTTGTGCATAAAGAAGGGTTCAGTTATTTTGATGTTGCATCAGGAAAGCCCTGACCAGTGGAGATGTCTGCTCAGTTGAATTTCTGACTTCTGTATGGTCTTTGTTTTTTTTTTTTTTTTTTTTTTTTTTTTTTTTTTTTTTTTTTTTTTTTTTTTTTATGGTTGTTTGCTTTCCTCTCAGTTTTCTGACATCTCTAGTTATGCTCAAGACCTACGCCTCAGCCTGAGGGATGATCTCCATTTTGCAGACTGCACCCTGATTTTTCTTAACCCAACAAAACTGGCTTTACAGAGTAACTTTAGGTCTTTCTTCCCAGTATTGTCTTTTATGGGCAGGTCAATATTTTTTCTTACCTGTAGAGAATTTTTAAAAGTTCCTTACAATTTTTTTTTAAAGTTCAACCCTGACTATTCCTGCTATATCTGTAATACAGAACTGAATTCACATAATCACCCAGGACAATTCCCCAACAGCTGTCTTCTATAATAATGCCCATGTTTAAATTTAGAAGTTTTTCATCTGTGTGTTTCTGAATATCATCTTGTCCAGTGTGCTGTATTATTTGTGCTGTAGGTGCTTACTGTGTGGTGATTTATCCTGGACATTGTTTTGCTTTTGTTTCTTCCATGGCAATGTCCCTTGATGTTCACAAATTATTAAAGTCTGTACAGACATTGTTATGAAACAGATGCACGTCCATTAAAACCTTGTTAGGAGATGTTATCATATTTCTTTGCACAAGTAATTAATTCAGGTTTGACTTACTGCTGCGATGGAAGGTGAAATCACTGCTCAAGGATGCAATGGTAAAGTCCCCTGCTTTTGAATTTTAAACTGACATTCCTGTGGCACTGGATTACCATCTGTGAGCTGGTTCACTGTCTGTCTTGCCTGGTGAAAGGCAGTAAGGATTTGGAGCTCATGTGCTGTAGCCTGAGATTCTTCATGGCAGGGTGGCCAGATGTCAGCTTTTCCTGGAGAAACAAATTGGTATACCCTGGCCTGGTCAGTCCTGGCAATGGTACGTGCCCTCTCATGCCTTCGTTCTGTATCACCTCACTTATATAGGAACATGATTAAGACAGAATGGTTTGTGGTGTTTTCAGGATGCTGGTATTTCCATATATCCGTGTCTGTAAGAAAACCAGTGTTACACTCAAGATGCCCATCATTACCTGAGGATATTGAATATTTGAATATCACTAAAAATCCCTAGTAGAGGAGAAGAAATAATTATGTAAAAACTCTTGTTCCCACTATATGGAAAAAAAAAATTATAGTTATTTGCACTAAGAAAAATTACTAAATCTATTGCTGAAAACCAAGGGGAAAGTATATACTCTTAGAGGTGGTTTTATTTCTTGGTCCTTTGTAGGTCTCAGCTTAAAATGTTTGAGTGCATTATTCAGGAGTGAGATGTGCTTATTAAGAACACTTTTCTACATTTTTGCTAGAACTGGTGTTCTGAAGGTCACTGTGCCCAATGCAAGTTGTGTTGCCAAGTTTCTTCTGGGGGCAGTGAACTGGGGAGAAGTTTTGGGGTTTGAGATCAGCATTTCAGCTTTATTAATTCAGAGGTTTTTACTTCCTTAATCTCCTTTGAGGTGCCAAGTTTTATTTAAAATCGGTATTCACATTAATGTTACACTGTGCTTAAATTCTGAATAAGAGTTAATCAACTTGAATAAATAAAGGCTTCTGGCCAGCTTCTGCGTTGACATTGATTTATAGTAGCAGCACGTTGCTGACAGATTCAGACAAAAGCAGGATTTATCTTTAAGTGACTGTAAGACTGTAAAAATATCAACAGAACAAAGCTGATTTTTCAGGGACAGAGTCCTGTGGTGGTATTCAGGTTGGGTCTGGCCTGGAGATTAAAAAATACTCTATGGCTAACTCATGATGGGACATCCTTTATTGCTAATGCTTTTACCTTTAATGCGAAGTTCTGTAGAACTATCCTGTGTGTGAGGATGAATCATTATGTATCTGGCATGCAAGAGAAAGCTAACTGACTCTAGAAGTGCTTGTTTCACCGCTAATTCATGCCACGATAAACATATTTTAATTTAATTTCTTTGAAGGGAAGCTGAAGCTGGACATCTAGGCATTGCTTTCTCTAAGCTATTCTCAGTGTGCCAAACCAGCAGTCAACAGATGTTGTTCAGTTCATTTTGGTTTGAACACTCTGAATGCCATTTGGCCCTACGCTAGAGAAGAAAAGCTCAGGCAGGGAAGCATTTTAAGAGATAAGAATGAACATGAGTTGTGTTTTTATTTTGTTTTTTTTTACACAAGAGGCAGAAAGGACAGAACAAACTTAATCTATGTAGTGTTAAACTCCAGAATCCACAGCCTGATTGCTTTGGAATTGCACTATGAGAGGTTCTCCTCGGTTGCAGAAGAGGGTAGGGATTGGGGAGAAGTAAAGCTTCAATGAGTAATGTTTGCTTGACATTTTTTGAGAGGGCAGTTTTTCCTCATTAAAACCAAAAAAAATCCAAGTGGGCTACTGTGTTAAATTAGTCGTCTTAGCTGATGGAAGTGAGTCATCAGCTGCTTGGTTAGTAGAGCTTGGAGATTTCAAGGGGGTGTCTTAGTGTGGGGAGCATAGAAAAGTTCTGTAATGGCATTTGTCAAAAAGGATGTTACAGATTTTATGATGGTTATGAAGAAAACAGGATACCGTAAGACTCCTCCACTCTCTTGGACTCTCTTAGGACCTTCCCTGCTGTAGCTTTTTTTCTACTTCTCCCAAACTACAAGTCTCAGCTGATCATGGAGCTGTCTGCTGGAGCTCAGCTTCAAGACAGCTTTCTTATTTCAGCTCTGTTGCTTGTGACTGAGCAGAAATGAAATCTGCTGTTATGGTACCAATTTCTTGTGTGCTTTAAAAAAGTTTCCATCATCATGTTATCAGTGAAAAGTACCATTTCCTAATTCTGCTTTTGTAACACCTTCAGGAGACAGCAGAGGACTTGGGAAAGCAAAATGGAAAATACTCTGTCTCTTTCTTAGCTATAAGTGAGATAAATTAAAACTTCTGAAGTCAGACTAGCTAAGAATATATCTGCCTTTTTTTCATTGCAGTATACATGAAACTTGAGATCTGAACCTGCTATGACTGACCCAGACGTCCTCACTGAGGTCCCAGCAGCTCTCAAACGCCTTGCCAAATATGTGGTGCGTGGCTTTTATGGCATTGAACATGCTTTGGCTCTGGACATTCTCATCAGGAACCCCTGTGTGAAGGAAGAGGACATGTTAGAGCTCCTGAAGTTTGATAGGAAGCAGTTGCGAGCTGTCCTCAACACCCTCAAGGGTGACAAGTTCATCAAATGCAGGATGAGGGTAGAGACGGCTCCAGATGGCAAAACCACCCGTCATAACTACTACTTCATTAACTACCGCCTGCTGGTCAACGTGGTGAAGTACAAGCTGGACCACATGCGGAGGAGGATTGAGACCGACGAGCGAGACTCCACCAACCGCGCCTCTTTCAAGTGCCCCATTTGCTTCAGCACCTTCACAGACTTGGAGGCCAACCAGCTGTTCGACCCCAGGACAGGTAAGAGCACAGATTAACAGAATGCCCTTGCTCTCTCCTTTGTCATGCCAGTGCTGGACTTTAAGGGGACAGACTCTTAGGCTAACTCTTTTGAGCCTGGCCGGAGATGGAGGACACTGTTTCTGCAGGTGGTAAATATCTGAGTAAAATATAGAAGTGCTGCAGATTGTTGCTGTGACCTAAACAGTCATATTCTGTTGCCCTGCTGGTAGTTGGTTTGGTAATGGATGCAGCAGACATACAGTCTGTAGAGACTGCCTGAGTGACAGGCAATAGAGAAATTGAGGTCTTGTCACAATCAGTTTCAAGGGTGGATAATGCAGTCTGTCCTTGTTGGAAGCTGGTGGCTTTTCAGTGTAATCTGCTCTTGCCTGTAAATTGTATGACTTACTGGTAGCTTGTGGCAAAGAGGGCTTATAAATAGAGCTGACTTTGATATGCAAAAAAATTTGTAATTTAGAGATGGTCATGCAAGGAGGGAGTTGTTACTGTTCAATTTTCTTCTAGCCAGTTCATTATACTGCACAACCTTGCTTCCCTAGTGAAAACTAGTCTTAGGAATGTTAATAGAAATTAATTACAAACTTCCTGTGGCTGGGAGTAAACAAGATTCTTTTTCAAGTGTGTGTGTCAGTGGAGGTGTCTGTCTCTCATGCATATGAAATAAGAATCTTTTCTGGGTGTCACTGTGTACAGGGGCACTCCAAATACTTTGTCTCTTCTGTGCTAGGGAAGAGAAGGAAGAACAACCTGCACCTGATGAGATCCTATTTTGCTAGTCTAACCTAGGGCTGTTTTGTGAGGAAGGCAGGGAGAAGGGTCTGGGTTAGTTTCTTTACTTCTTAATTTTTTCCTTTTGAATTTTTTGTCCTGATCTTGCTTTTCCCAGAAAAATAAAAGAGCAAGAGTCAGGTGGGCTCTCAGAAACATTAGAATGTGGAACTTTGTGTCAACTACTGTAAAAACATGTAAAACTGTTACTGTAAAACTGTAAAAATTCATTGTTTAGTGGTTTTGAAGCTTTTAATCTAGGGTTGCATCAGATGGCTAATCTGCTTTGGAGAAGGGCAAATGCCCAGCAGGTGTTCAGCTTGAGTTGTGGGTTTTTTTTTTTTTTTTTTTTTCTTTCCTGCCTCCAAAGATCAAGGGCTGTGAAACTCCTTTTACTTGAGCAACTGTGAAAATGACATTTAATACTAGAGAGGCAGAATCTCTTAAGTGGAATAATGATTGTTGCTGTCATTGGTGCAGTTCTCCAGTAGAAGTTGCTCCCTCATGGAGCCCCAAAGCCAGCAGTGCCAACACAGATTTTCTGTGCTCACCACCAAGGATAGAAAGTACACATGCTCCCTACAGTGATGATTATCTGTAGCAGCTACAATTGTGGGTGTGAGGCTCAAGTGGAACAGTGCTTCAGTTTGCTTCAGCAGGGAGAGAGCAGAGAACCCGTGTAGAAAGCAAACATAGGAGGGAGTGTGAGACTCTCAGCCTGAGGGGACCTGTAACACTTGTGGGTGAATCCTCTCAGCCTGTTGTGGGTGGTGAGTTCCAAGAGCAAAGAACTGGTTGTTGAGGAGATGCAGAAGACAATAATGCTGGGATTTGGCTTTGACAGCAAGGCCTGTGTTTCAGGAGCTCATGAGGTCAACCAGGGGTTTGTTTGCAGTACAGGCAGTAGCCACCTTCACAGTGCAAAGTCATTCACTGGCACACGGAGCGTTTTGCAGGTCTGCTGGTGGAAAGAAAGGTTTGAGTGCTGCTTTGCCAGCAATTGGGTTCTCTCAGTATTAATGCAAATAACAAGATAGTTTACCTTCACTTACTATCTATAAGAATATGCCTGTCTAGAATTTATGTATGTTCTGTTTCTCCATGTATAACTTTTAAGTCAATGATAGCTTTATCTAGATAGTGCTTGATGATACTGTTGTTTCTCAAGAGCTTTTACAAGAAATACCAGTTTGAAAATGGTTCTTCAGTTACTGTTAAGAAAGGCTCATACTGTCTTCAAACCATGAGATAGCTGCTTGTTTCCATTCCAGGTAAATAAGTGGGCTGTTTTGATGTGGGTTTTTTTGTTTGTTTGTTTAGGGGAGGCTGGTTTTGTGCGTGTTTTTTTAGTTTGTTTTTGGGGGGGAGGGTCTTTTTGGTTTATTTTGTGAGAATGGCTGCTTTATATTGCAGTAGATTGTGTTGTTTGTCTGTATTTCTTGTTCTGCTGGAATCTATATTGGTAAAGAACTTGAGATGCCTTTGGATCTCCCACAGAGGGAGCTCATGAGGGCAAGGCATGTAGAGGACCAGGGTTTATCAGATGGTGGATAGCTGTCCTTTTCCAAGCATGTCTTTAGCCCTTATCAGCTCTCTACGTAAACCTCTCCAACTTGTTGAAACTCATGGCAGTACAACTGCTGAAGTGTAGGTGAAAGCCACATGAATTTCAGTCACAGTTGACCTGAGCTGCTCCTGGTCTGCAGCCATGTTGATGACATTTTCTAAAGTAAAAGGCCTGTAGGGCCAAAGTTTGTTGGTCTGTAGAGCAGGCAGAGAAGGTGTCTTCTGTGCTAGTCTAGACCAAGCTGCAATCTGTTGTTAAAAGACGTCCTGTTTCACTGGCTGCTTCTTGGCTTCTTGTTCTTGTCATTCTGGGGATGGTTTAGATGTCCTGTGTTTACTTCTGCTTCTCTCTCTTCTTCCCTGGTTAAAAATCAAATGCAACTCTGAGGAATTGTTATAGAATGAAAGCAGGGTTAGAAGAGGAGGTTATTGCTTTTGCCCGTCCTTATTAGTGTGGGTAAGGAGGTTTCCAGAATCTCTTCATGCCTGTAGCTGTGCTATCAAAATTTGTGAAATAATAGTGCTTGTGAAGAGCAGGTCCATAAGGTGGATCTGCAGTACTCTTTAATTTTTACCACAGCGTCTGTGTCTGTTTTGACTTTTGCAGGGGTCTGTTTCTTAGATGTTACTGGTTGTCAAATGGAGACTTTTTCAGCTCTCTGCCTGACTCCGTTTGTGAATAGCTTTGAAACAAACTGAAACGTGTATTTTCTTTTTGAGAGATGGTTATTGATGGTTTTGGAAGGTGGAAATGTGTCTGCTTCAAGAAAATAATTGATAGTAACAAGGATGTGTTTTCAGGGCACGAAGGTATAGATGTGCTTTTGTTGCTGTTCATTGAATTTATTTGGAAAAATATTTTCCTACTCTGTTCAGAGTGTGCCTCTAAGATAATTTTAAATGTATACTTAAAATTTCAAATGTTACTTTGAGACTATGATCTCTTTGCTTTTAAAAGTATTATATGATTTTTCTCAATCGCTTTTTCTGCCATTTCAACCCAAAAAGCTCCAAAACCTTAATATGCTGTCAGGGGTTGAACAAACACTGTCTGATACTTGTAGGAAGTTCAAGGACAGGAATAGTGCAATATTAAAGAAAACATCAGACAGTGGAAGTCACGGTGATGAAAAAACTTGAATTTTGCTGCTGCTTCAACTGACAGAGGGATCTTTTGAAAATGAAAAGAAACACACGTTGTGTTGGAGGAGTCGCTTGGTTGTATGACTGGTGAGTGCCTGCCAGCTCTAAGCACGGTATCCTCAGGTCCTGAGTGTTAGTCCCATCTGCTCTGAAGAGCTTGAGCAGATCTCCAGATACCACACTTTCTCCTCAGTGGCAGTTCTTACTGTTGCCTCCAAAGAAGTGCTATCAGTAACTTCTGCTTTGAGAGGCAAAGGGCTTGGACACAGCAGGCTTTTATTTTGAAAAAGTTTGCTGTGGAAACTTGTAGCGAAGCTCAGAACTTTCTGAATTCACAGGGGGACAGATCTGTGGTTTGCCTCTTGACCTGGCAGTGACTTTGAGGGGAATTGGTGCAGGCTGGGTTGTTGCAGGCTGGGTTGTTACAGGCTGAGTGGGCAGTTCTCACCTGCTTTTGTGTTTGGAGATCTACAGAAAGAAAACCACCAGTGCTGTATGAATTAAAAGCCTTAGTACTAGCCTTGTGTTTCAGATGGAATGACTGAGAAAGGAAGAGGGTTGCACTTTTCCTAGATCCTAATATAAGCACCTGAAATACAGATCGTTGCCTTTCACTTGTGCCATGATCTGCTGTCTACCTGTGCTCTGATAGTTCATCATTCTTCTGTGTGATGTGATGAAGCCTCATGCAGGTAGAAAGCTGCAGCCATTCCCTTAAAGGAGTGAAGAGCTATCTCTTGAGGTAGGGATGTGCAAGGAAGACTTCAGTTAAGTAGCAGTAAAAAAAAGAGAGACTTTAAATGCATGCTGTGAATAACACTGCCAAATTCTCTCTATTCCCAGATCTATGCTGACTGTGGACACTGACATGTAAGGGGCATTGGATTTTCAAGTGTTTCACCTAGAGATAGGATGTTACTTCATTAGGCTCTTACATAGACCTGTGGAAAGAATTTTATTGTCTGTTCTTTTAAATGTAAAAACTACAGAAACATGGTTTCTGTAGGCCAATCCCTGAACTTGCAGAGCAATCTAAACAGCATGATACCATCTTGTGGGTTTGATTTAAAAATTTAAATATTGGAGAATTAAATATGCACCAGTCTGTTCTGCATAGTGGGGGGGGGAGGGACAGGAGAATCTGCATTGTCTCACCCAGCAGAGGGAGCTGTCTTCTTTTCTCTGTACCCATGGACTTGGATGGATTCATTTATGGAATGTCACAAACCTGGAAATTAGGTTCATGGATATGTGTTCTGGAGCATGATTATGGCTAGGGGTGGTCTCTCTGGTGTGTATCCTGTCTTCTTACCCTCATCGTATTTGTAGGTCTAGTGTTGTGTTGGAGTTGACTGTCAAATTCAAGGTCAATTTGAAAGTAAGAATGTGACTAGAAACTGCAAAAGGGATAGTGGGGTTGAAATGGAGGAGTGACAGAGATGAGATCCCGCAGTGCATCACGCTGTCATTCAGCCCTGCATTTCCTTAGGCATTCTAAATACCAAACTGTACTGGGATAC